AGTCATACCTCTACGCAATACATAGCAGTGTTCAAACTACATCCGTGCACGCTTGACTATAACACCAACATCATTCGCTGACATACAACATCGCACAACTACTTTCTTGCGCTGCGCGAAACCAAGACCAAACAACACTTGGGGAAAAGCACGCATGTTGCCAGAATCTTCTGGCTGGTTGGTCAGTCATGTCACATCTTTCGAATGGCCCTACAAAAGCGGCTTCGGGACGTATCACTTGTGTGTGCGTGCCTCCCTCTGAGTTTCAGGTGGTTGGAAAGGTCGCGCCGCCATGGTCCTGCAAGCGCTCCGCGAGGCAGCGCCGTAAAGGTTCAGAGGCATCTTGCACTGTGGGCGGCGGCAGCGCGTTCAGGAGCTTGGTCAGCACACCTCACTAGGTATGCCGCTAGGAGATCTGAAGGAAACTTCGGGAGGAGGAAGGTCCTGTCAACTACCAATCCTTGACAAATTCCGAGAACGCGATGTGTTTGCACTTGTTTTTCTGCCATTCGTAAACGGTTGGAGAAGATCCCAGCAAGCGAAATATGACAAGAAACTGGTCTTACAGCTTGCAGGAGAAGGTCGAGCTGGTTTTACCCTGCCCAGCCCGGACTTAGACCAGGATTGAGGTCGAATCCCAGCTTTGCACGGTGATGTGTCCCTTTACATGCCCTGCCCATCAATCCAGCCTGTAGGAACGGATGCCCTTAGTTGCAGCCCACCCTTTGGAACCCATGTGTCGGGGTCTAAGGATCATGGGAGGCAGGGGTAAACACCTGGCAAATGGAAGTGCCATTTTCTCGGCAACATGTCATGTGCCACAAGTCCAAGAAACCCGAAGATAATTTCGCCCTGGAAACGGACCGGTGTGCTCGGTTTACCAAGTGGGCTGGCGGCAAAGTAGAGAGCGAGTCAGCCCACCGCCCAAACAAAGTCCGCGCGACCGTTGGCGGCATCTTGGACGATGCCAACCTGGCAACACCAACTCAGTGCTCTGAAAAACAGATCCAAAGGATCTTCACAACTTGCGCAGCATTGAGCAGAAGTTAATGGCTGGGCTGTTCAAAATCGCCACCCAAGCTAAGGATTAAGGATTAACTTTGAACAGCCCAGAATGGCTCACAGTTCTACCCTATTTCCTCATTCAGCCAGTCCAGCGCCATGAGATGCTCACTTGCACATCTGGATTCCAGACCCATCCCTTTGTTCGGACTGGATATGTCCAACACTTGCACACAATCATCAAATTGCTGCCAGAATCACTGAACAAAAGACAACCATGACCGCTGACCATGGCCTTCAACGGTTCCTGTGACTGGACAGGAAGCCCTGGCAGAAAAAACCTTGGGGGTCAACCGACCCCTGCGACAAACTTGGCATTCCCACACGACATTTGCGCATGGATATCCGCCGACATTGCTCGGCGTGTCGGATACTTACTAGAGGATAGAGGATAAGCCCCCCCCCTAACCCCCCCCCGCCCGACGTCTATTACGTAGGTTTTTGGGGGGGGGGGGGGTCCCCCACGTACCGCGCGGCAATTTGATGACGTTCCACTAAACGTAGTCTTCGGGGAGCCGGTGTCGCAAAACAGGGGTCCCAGGCTCGATTCCCCCTGCCGGCTTTTTGGCTGGCTTGGGCTTCCTGCATCCTTTTGCCGAAAATCTGGAAAAACTCGATGTTTTTGGACGTCCTCTTTGCGAAAACGCTGGAAAAACCGTGTTGTTTTTTTTTTGCGGGAAATACTGGGGAGCAAAGGGGAAGTGCAAGGATACATACATACATACATTACAGTACATTACATTACATTACATGACATTGCATGACATTACATACATACATACATTACAAACATCCATACATACATGCATACATGTATGTAAGCATGCATGCATGCATGCATGCATGCACACATACATACATACGTACATACATTACATGCATTACATTACTTACTTACTTACTTACTTACTTACTTACTTACTTACTTACCTACTTACTTACTTACATACTCACATACATGCATACATGCATACATACATGCATGCATACATACATACATACATGCATGCTTACAGACATACATACATACATACATGCATACATACATACATACATTACATACATACATACATACATACACACATACATTACATACATACATACACACATACATACATACATACATTACATACATACATACACACATACATTACATACATACATACACACATGCATTACATACATGCATACATTACATACATACATACATACATTACATACATGCATACATACATACATACATACATAACATACATTCATACATACATACATACATGCATGCATGCATGCATACATACATACATTTCATACATACATTACATACATACATACATACATACATACATACATACATACATGCATGCATGCATACATACATACATACATGCATTACATACATACCTACATACATACATACATACATTACATACATACATACATACATACATTACATTAAATTACATTACATTACCTTACATTCCATACATTACATACATACATACATTACATTACCTTACATTACATTACATACATACATGCATGCATGCATACATACATACATACATTCATACGTACATACATACATACATGCATTACATTACATACATACATACATGACATACATACATTACATACATACATTACATACATACATACATACATACATACATACATAACATACATACATACATACATACATAGATACATACATACATACATACATACATAACATACATACATAACATACATACATACATACATACATACATACATACATACATACATACATACATACATTACATACATACATACATACATACATACATACATACATACATACATACATACATACATTACATACATACATACATACATACACACATACATACATACATACATACATACATATATACATACAACATACATACATACATACATACATACATACATACATACATACATACATACATACATACATACATACATACATACATTACATTACATTACATTACATTACATACATACATACATACATACATACATACATACATACATACATACATACATACATACATTACATTACATACGTACATACATACATACATGCATACATACATACTTACTTGCTTACTTACTTGCTTACATTACATGCATGCATGCATGCATACATACATACATACATACATACATACATACATACATACATACATACATACATACATACATACATACATACATACATACATACATACATACATACATACATACATACATACATACATACATTACATACATACATACATACATACATTACATACATACATACATTACATTACATACATACATACATACATACATACATTACATACATACATACATTACATACACACATACATACATACATACATACATACATACATTACATACATACATACATACATACATACATACATACATACATACATACATACATACATAACATACACATATACATACATACATACATACATACATACATACATACATACATACATACATACATACATACATACATACATACATACATACATACATACATACATACATACATACATACACACATACATACATACATACATACATACATACATACATACATACATACATACATACATACATACATACATACATACATACATACATACATACATACATACATACATACATACATACATACATACATACATACATACATACATACATACATACATTACATACATACATACATACATACATACATACATACATACATACATACATACATACATACATACATACATACATACATACATACATACATACATACATACATACATACATACATACATACATACATACATGCATATGCATACATGCATGCATACATACATACATACATACATACATACATACATACATTACATACATACGTACATACATACATACATGCATACATACATACATTACATTACATTACATTAAATTACATTACATTACATTACATTACATTACATACATACATACATACATATACATGCATGCATACATTGCATACATACATACATACATGCATACATACATACATACATATGTACATGCATGCATACATACGAGAGAGGGAGATTGGGGAGAGAGAGGCTTGGGGGGATGGGGAGGATGGGAGCAGAGGGAGGGAGAGAGGACGACAGAACACACAAGGGAGACAAGGAAGAGAGGAAGAAGGAGAAAAGGGAGAGGACAATGTCGGCGGACTGAGCCGGAGGCTCTAAAGTTTGTATTCGTTTGGACGGATCTCCAATCCGGCCATCACGTTGGACACAAACACAGTTGATAAGTAAATTCGGGACCCTGTCTGCGCGGTGATACATGTGTAAGAAAAACGGTATACGCATCCGCATACATTATGCGTAGTGTATAGCAAGTATATATACATATCATACTACTATCATTGATGCATAATTGTTACCAAAGTCAGCAAGGCCGAACAAGACCTCCCAATGCCCCAGCTAGTGACTTGCCTTCTCTCCAATAAGCCAATAAGGGTAATCAGTGCCAGGAAGTTGGCCAAATCCCATCGGGCGGCCTTGCCTGTGGATTTCCTTTAGGCTTCCGGGACGTCCGGCCTATCAACCCCTCACCATGGTATTTCCAGTTGTATTTGTTTTGTGTTGGCAGCTCCGCTGCATGGGGTTCTTCAGCATTAGGATATTCCACAAGAGCCTGAAACGCACATTCCAGTGGCCGATATGAAGGAACTATTCAAGGGACACAATTCAACTAACATGCAAAGGGGGAAACATCAAACCGCCTCACTAAAGAGCAAACAAGCAGCCAAAGAAATGGTGCGACCCCTTTTGGAACTGCACGCACCCGGTTTGCTTGCTCCACACTGAAATTTGCCATGGTGGCTCGTTTACGTGAAGCATTCAAAGCAACCCGGCGGCTGCCATCGAATCCGGGCCCGTGTTGCCTCTGTCAGGCTCACCAGGGCCACCCGGGGCGCATGCTTCACCGCGCAGTTGAACTCTGCAAGGTTGGCAAAGGCGGCGACCTGGACGACGGAACTTCGCGCTCCCTAAGGATTCTCAGTCCTCAAAAATGCTTTTGTTCAAGGGCAAAAGGGCGCTGGAAGGACAAGTCTTAAGGATCCAAACGGCTTTCTTGGGTTTTCCAAAATGGTTTTGTTCAAGAGCCTCGTCAGGGGTGCCGCGAGGGGTCTTTTTTTATTGGGCCCGAGGTCTGCATTGGACATTCCCTGCACGTCCATTGTTGGTTGGAAGGACACTCCTACTTCCAGAACAAGCAAGTAACGGTTTCCCAAGGAGGAAAACAGACTTGCCTCTTGGTCTTTCTGGCAAAAATAAACCTCCCTGTATCGAAAGTTTGCATTTGGTCTGGTACGTGGGTTTCTTGGCTGGCCCCAAATGGGTTCTTGCAAATGGGTGCCTGTCGGATGCTACACACATGACTGTCCTGTTGTTCACATGTTCACATGATCAGAACCCGGGTAGAAAGAAATGAGGCACATTTCCCCCGTCCCTCCCAAATGGCCATAGACTGGACATTTTGACCTAGCCACCCGTAGGATTCCAGTCTCTCAAACATGGTCCAGTCCCAAGAAGTGATAAGAATCCAGAAACTGGCAAAGAGAGTCTCTCTCTCTCTCTCTCACTTCCTGAGTGGATGGGCCAACAAAAAGTGCAAACTTTGTATTTAAGCTCAAAGTTCAGGAACTCAGGAAGTGAGTTCTATGGGTATGCATCACATGCGACCCCAAACTTGTGGTCTCCTTTGGTTTTCCTTTCAACCAGCCGGAAGAGGGGTGTACCCTCAAAACGCAGACCCACAACCACACCCCCCGCGCTCTGGCTCCATCGGCACCTGCAGCGCCAAGGAGGAGCCCACCACCAGAGCCTCCACGGCGCGGCGGAGGTAGTCGAAGTGGCTGAGCTGCATCACTTGGCCTTCGAATTCGAATCGCCGAATTGAGTACCCGGTGGAGAGAATAAGGGGTGGTAGGGGTGGTAGGGGTGGTTCAGGTGGTTCCGTCCGCGTTTCGGCGGTTGCTGAGTTCATGAGTGTGTCAAATTGAAGGAACCCCAAAACAGTGGGTTTCCTGTTGGTTTCCCTGCAAATTAAAGTAAGGCGAACAGAGCTAAAAGAGTACCATACGATTTCAATCAGGAGTGGCTCAACCCTTGGGTAGTGATTTTTGTTGAGAAGGAGACGGCGGCCTCGAGATGCGCGGAAGCGCTTGCAGCAATTTGAGGCCGTCGGACTTCAAGGGTCAAACTTCTGCTGGACCGGCCGAAGGTCCCTCAGGGAGAGCCCTTTGCAACAGCTGCCGGTGCCAAAGAGCTTTCATCCGGAGCGCTAGCGCAACAAGCGCAAGCCGAACGAGACGATCATGCGAATGCTGGTCAAAGAGGAGGAGGTCTACCAGGACATGGTGGAAGCGCTCCGGAAAGTGCGTCAGGACAAGGAGAAGCCCGTAGAGAGGCCCAAGTCGAATGCATCATCCCGAGTAGGAACTTCAAGGATGAGCTCAACAGCGACGTCCTGTAGACAGGCCCAGCCCAACAATGCGAAGGCGGATGTGGTGACAGCGACGAGCAGGTCTTGCTCTGGTCACCGGTTGCAACACCACGTCCAAAATGGAAGCCTAGGTCCCAAGGGGTGGTTGCCGTTGAGAAACGGTGTCGAGGTAGCTTCTGCGTTTGTCGGGGGGAACCCATTTGCGAACAGGTTCAAAACCATACCATGACTAAGTTAACAAACACGAGCAGGATTGAAATCTTCAGAACTTCACTGAACCCTTGTTTTAAAGCGGAACTTAAATGACCGTACAAGTTGTAGTTGAAGCTTGAACTGAGCCCCTGTCGTAAGATGAGGCTTTGAAGCTAAGCCTTGTTGACTTTGAAAATCGGCGGACCATACGAATCATTCAGAACCCCCCGCCCCCAAACGAAAACACCTCCTCAGTAAACCGCGGGAAGGGTGGGGGGGATTGCCCCGGATTGAAAGCTTACCCTATGAATCCCGGTTCTCACATTACTAGGCAAGGTACCCATGACTTTTCCTTGCAGTTCAAAAGGATTCCCTGGTTATACCTACAGACGAAAGGGAGTCAAACGGACTAGGGCTCCTGGTTTGGACACCGCCACCATTGGAGACAACAGAGATGCATAACAAATCTGCGCGACTAGTACGGAGGTCTCGTTGCACACAATGTCTCTATATATAGCCCAGACCTCACAACTGTCTCTTGCGGCGATTGGCGCTCGCAGAATCTGTGTCTGGCTGCATGTATCACAACTGCAAGAGGATTTATGGATACACAGACTCAGTTGTCAAGCACCCACAGACATGCTTCCCTGGACGTTCCACACTTGTTAAAGGATTGGCACACTCATCTGATCAGGCAATCAGAGCTTCACTCACGCACATGTGCACGTACTCCACACCGACCAAAATACCCAAATGTGGGCATGTGTGTACACACACAGGTATATATATATATATGGCTGTGGATCAAAAATGCGTACCCGAATTGGAACCCTGGTAAATGGAACCCCAAACTAAAACCTGCGGTCCTCTGATGCCTTTTTGTTGACCATTTTTGACCCATACCCATATGTTATGTACAAACATATCAAGGAGTAAACACATTGTCGCATCACGTCACATCCACGCGTGCATGTGAACGTGTGTATGTGTGTGTGTGTGTGTGCGTGTGTGCGCCTCCCATCCCTTGAAGATTATATAAAAGCCGCCATCATTGGAATCATGTACCATGTTTGCCTGCTGCCATAAGTTGGATTCGTTCGGGATTCCCCAGCATAATCCAGGGACCCGGCTGGCATCGATGCCGTCTACAACCACGTCCTGTCGGCGCGTACAAACACTCGGCCTATTGCAGCTGTTGAACTGTGTGCATAAAACACATACTAGAGAAATGTATATGCATGTGGATAAGTGCATATTATTATTATTATATATATATATATATATGTATAGCCATCACCCAAGAGTGGAATATAAGGCCATTGTCGAAACTTGAACTATCGCAATTCGAGAAGGTCCAAGCATTCCCCATGTTTGGTTCGCCTGCAGGGTAAACGGATCCCCAGACTGCAATTGGATTGGTGAAGCTGCGGTACCTCCAGCTGAAAACGCAAGTTCGTAGCCCTGGATTGATCTCATGCAGCCCTGGTCAATATTCATCCCAGTTGACATGTTTTTGTTTGTCGAGTAACACTCGACACACCTTCCATAAACTTGACGGAGTTTTGGTGTGGGGCATGTCGTCCCCCTTGGCCATACCTGACGGTGACTATTAACCGTTGCTTACTTCCAAATTCGCCTCGGCCCCAAAGGGGCCAAGGGCGCTCAGATCTCTTCTCCAAAGAGAATCTTCGCTTTTCCCCTCCCCCAACCCCCTCCCCAACCAAAATTTTGCCGGGCCGCCCCCCCCCCCCACCCCCCCCCACCCATGTCGGCTGGACCCAAAATCCTGTCCGGCGGGCCTTGAAATTTTCGGGGTTCGTCGGCGTCCAGCTCCATGGGTCCATTTTTGTCGAAAATGTGCTGACAATTGCGAAAATCACTAAAAAATTGCTTTTTTGTCCTGAAAAGCATGACCTCCTGGTGGCCAGGCCTGCCTGACGTGTCTGAGACTAGGCTCAGGCCCAGCCCAACCAGCAGCCCGCCTGCTGGCCAGGCCTGTCAGCCCCACCCAGCCTCAGGCCCAAGCTTGTCTGAAACAGGCCTACCCCAAGTCATCCAGCAAGCCCAGCCCAGCGCCCAGCCCAGGCCCTAGGCCGGCCCCAAGGTCAGGTTTGTCTAACGCCAACGACCCAGTCTCACGTGTCTGAAACTGGTCTCAAGCTATGCCAGCCACCAAGCCCGTCTGACGTGCCCCAGCCCCCTCAGTCCGGCTGCCCAAGCAACTCAGCCCCTCCTGCTTGCGTCTGGCCCCAAGCCATCCAGCAGGCCCAGCCCCGTCTCAAAGTACGCCAGCCTGAGACTGGCCTCAGGCCCAGCCCAGCCAACTCGCCACCCAGCCTCGGGCCCAAGTGTGTATGAAACAGGCCTTGCCCATCCAGCAACCCGCCCAAGCACAGCTCAGCCCAGCCCGCCCAGCCCAAGTTCCAGGCACAACCAGCGTCCGGCTGCCCGGCAGCCAGCAACCCACCCATGGCTTCGCAGCCTCGTGGCTGAGACTAGCTTCAGGCCCAGCCCAAAGCCTGCCCAGCCCAGGCCCCAGCGCATCTCAGGGCATGCCAGCCACTACCGGCCCCCAGCTCCCAGCCCACCAGCAGGCTCAGCCCAGTGTGCCAAGGTCAGGTTTGTCTAACATGTCTGAGACTGGCCTCTGAGACTGGTCTCAAGCTATGCCAGCTACTCAGCAGCCCAGGCTGACCAGGCCCCTTCGGCGCAGTCTGAGACTGGTCTCAAGGTATGCCAGCCTGAGGCTAGCCTCAGGCCCAGTCCCTCAGCCCGCCTGCTGGCGTGTCTTACGTGTCTAGCCAGCAACTCGCTACCCAGCCTCAGCCCATCCAGCAACCCGCCCAAGCACAGCTCAGCCCAGCCAGCCGAAGTTCCAGGCGCAACCAACACCATAATCCAGCTGCCCAGCACCACCCATGGCTTCGCAGCCTCGTGGCTGAGACTAGCTTCAGGCCCAGCCCAACCAGCAACCCGCCTAAGCCAACCCCACCCAAGCCCACCCGGTTTGAGACTCGCAGGCCTCAGCCTATCTAGCGCCGAGACTGGGCCTCACCAGCCTGGGCTCAACTAGCGTCTAGCCCAGCCCAGTCCGCCTGCTGGCCAGGCCTGTCTGACGTGTCTGAAACTGGCCTCAGGCCCAGCCCAGCCATAGCCCAGCCCCCTCAGTGCGGCTGCCCAGCCCGCCGTAAACTAGCTTCAGCTCAACCAACAACCCACGCAAGCAAGGTCCAGCCAAGCTGCCCGAGACTAGCTTCAGGCCCAGCGCAGGCTTATCTGATGTGTCTGAGACTAGCCTGTGGCCCAGCCCAACCAGGCGAGGCCGGCTTGTCTGACTTGTCTGGAGCCAGCTTCAGGTATTCGGACCTTCCCAACACTGGATTTCGGTGTTCCTGACCCTTCCCTCAAACTAGGCTGGGCCGAGGCGGGCAACGCGAAGCGTTTACAATAAATAGAGCTACATCTTCCAATCGAGGGACACTGCCAACCATGAAACTGGAAGCTGAGATCATGAATTATGAGATGGGGTAGGGAAACCATCACGCAATACCCAATGGTAGCAATGACTGGCACCCTACGTGTAGTAGAATGGCCATGGTGGCATTTGAGTTTGGTGCTGGCAGCCAACTGCGCCGATGTTGAACAACTGCTTGGCAATGATTTCGCGAATGACAGCGGCTTAGTGTTTATCCCTGATAATTAACCCACTACGCATCTGCAGGGTTTTCCCTGGAAGAACAAACAACGCATTAAACAATCTTTGTTTGATAGTAGGAAGAGGGCTATAAATCAGAACCTGAAATTGCTTGTCTGACATCCATCCCATCCAGCTTCAAGCTACTAAAGTTAGCAAAGGTTTGCGGACAACAAATGCGAGGGGCAATCAACCATACTATCATTCCTGCCAAGCTTAAACATACACAAGATGCTAGGGCATTGGTGTACCTGCCTTGTGTGAAGCAACGCAGAAAGAACACCGAAAGGTAACTGACCAAACAAGGATTGGCCTGGAACCAGAGAAGCCCCATTTCAGGGAAGGCAACACAGAAAGCCAAACAAGGTCATCTGGCCGATCCACAGCCAAGGCGCAGGGCTCACTCTGACACACTCCGATCCAAGCATGGACGAAATCCCGGCTGGCAAATTGACATCTTGCAGAAACAATGCAGACAGGCACGGTGCATCTGTTCGCAGAAACAATCGGGGGACTGTGACTTCAGTTCATGGTTGTTCAAATCCTAGAACGAAACGATGATGTGAAAGCAAGAACGCGGTGAAGCACTGTCTGCTAACATACCTTTTGGCTCAGGGTTGACTTGCCAAGACAGCACAAGCAGCGAATCACTTAGGTCAGCTGAGCGGAAGACCAACAAGACGAGCAAGACCTGCTCCCCGCCTCGACTTGGAAGCTTTCACCATGTGCTGGTGTCGAAAGCGAGCTTTCAGATGAGCTACCAGTTCAAATGAACATAGACTTTGCTGTGACATTGGCCCTTAGATGTCGCAAAAGATTGTTGGACAAAGGTTACAGAAAGGCATGCAAATCCCTGCGCAAAAGCCTTCTGCGAAGAACACAGCATCGATCCATTGGATCAGACGGACAGCTGGAAGCAGCACGGCGTATGCGGTTGTTGAATGGGCCCAAGCCACAGTCTACCTCAGCTGTTGCCCCCTCCAACCAAGAATGACATGCTTGGTCATTGTCAATGTTCAGCAAACAGTGTATAAACTGTTAAAATCAATCAAAGAGACTCCAATGTAGGAATGAAACTTCGCTGAGAAACCCGTTTCTTAGCCGGAATGGGCCAACCATGACCGAACATTGTCTTTCCCAAAGATGAGCTTCCGGAAACAATGTGAGTGTCCCGCAACTTGGAACCTGAGATAGGAAAATGGCCATCCCTGTGCAAATTTGATGATCGGCGGTCCTGGCCATCCAGCTCCGATGCCACATCCTGGCGGATCGGAATTGAGAACTTACTCTTGCTCAAAGCGCCTGGGCATAGATGTCCAGAAACAGTAAAGGCAGACCAAAACTGGAAGCCTCAAGGTTAAACGCTCGGGCTTAGGCAAGTCGTTCATTCATGTTGACCGCTGAGCAGCAGGCCTCCTGAAAGTATGCGCTAGCGGGCAAACTGGATTTTCCAAATCTCCCGGAGGTATCCTTCAAGGCCCCACTGTTAAATAAGCCGCCCCCATTTCTTTAGATGTTGCAGGTAGGGAACCATACATTTCCCGGATGTTTAAAAGTTTATGAAGTGAAGGCCCCGAGTCAACTGCATGGCGAGGCGTGGCTTCAACCATGGGAGCAATCAGTGAGACACCGGATCTTGAATTCGCAAACACACCTAGACCACTTGACAAAAACCCGGGATCCGCTGAAGGATTGATTGAAGGCCAAAACAAGCGACGCCACGTGAGGGATCAACCCCACTTTATGAGGAACAAAGCACACATCTGGGCATGTCAGCTCAAGGGCCAGTACGCCTGCTGCCATAATGTCCATGGAACGAAGTTGTCTTGTTGGCAGATCGCATGCTGCACAAGCGCTGTTCTTTGTTAGTGTAAAATGGTTTCGATGTGCCTCAGTATCATGCCTGAGGGCCAATGGTTCACAAAGGGTCGTCCAGTTCAGGCCAAAACCGTGTTTGGGAGGCCCTCTCAAGTTGCACGTTCTCTGGACATTGTATCATCTGTCACATCTTGGCTTCATTGATGTGATTTGAGGAGAGCATTGGGCTGTCCACACACCCACGCACCAACACACCAACAGACCAACAGACCAACAGATCAACAGACCAACAGACCAACACACCACACACACCAACACACCACACACACACACTAACACCCGCATGCTCCGGATCTGTAGCTCTTGGCAAAAATGGTGCCTTGCGTTTGTTCTTCCTGATAGCAGGTGGGGTTCTTCGGACATGAGCGTCCGAAACAAACGGACCTCCTATGTAAGGATCCCACTACATTGGAACATGGACTAGCAAGCTTGTCCAAACTTCTGTCCAACATGTCCAACGTTTGTCAAGGGCCCCCCAATTGCCCATGGACTAGCAAGAATAATCATTTGCAACCCAGCCAAAACAGTACGGCCCAACAAAGGAGAAAGGAAACTAATAAAGACCTCACCCGCCCTCTTCCTGTTCATCTTCTGATTCAAGTCACCTTCATGGTAACGAAAAACATAGTGCTTCGAACAATTTCCCACATAATCTTCAGGCTCTGGGGTCGAACAAACAACAGGAACGCAACGGACACACTGGGACTCCCCAGCCACGAACCTTCATGATAAAGCAAACATCACCTCCAAACGGGAGCTCATGTGAAAATATCCCGCAAAGGAGATGCTTCAAGTCACAACAATATGAGCAGCCGACTCAGGGCCTACGCCAAAACCGATACCCTGCAATTGTTTGAGCCCTGGGCCCAGAGCTTCTCACGTCAACCACCCGTTGCGCCCGCAGCCCGTTGAGTTGAGATCCGTTGAGATCCGTTGAGATCCGCTGAGCCTGGGCGGAGCTGCCCCAACCGCCGCAGTTGGCATCTGTGACCTGCGCCGCCTGCAGCAGGATGTCCAGATCCGTGGCCAGCGACCTGACCAAGTTCGATCTTTGAGGAAGCAACATGGAATCACTCCGTTCAGGGTGAGTGCCGAATGTAAACAGCGAAATTGACTTGTGACAAAAGGGTCCTGAATAGAGCGCATTGATTAACATTGATCCTCTCTCAGACTCTGCTGCGTAACAGTGTGATGCCTACCTTAGGCATACTGATGATTGTGTCTTGGAAATGCTTTCCGTGGAGATGTTTCAATGCGCTCATGCACATCCACACACATCTTCAACTGGAATTGGAGGAGAAGTGGCAATACTCCAACTCATGTTCCGGTGGATAACGTCACGACCGGCATCAGCTACACTTGAGCTGAACGTCTTGAGCCAGTCTTGAAGCACAATTCGATACATTTCAATCGTGGTGCTGCGGCTCGTCAATTAGGACAAGTATAAGAAACTGCAACGAGTTCAAAACAGCTGGCTTCCTCGGCCGAGACGATTGAAGGCAGTCTCGCTCGATGCACCCATCCAAAGAATAAAACAAATGCAACTACATCTCTAGAACACAATGCTAAAATAGAACCAAACCAGCCACACAGGGCAAGCACTGGCGGAACATCCAGGCCATTTTCTATCGCGACATGAACGCTATGCTGTAATGCACTTCTGAACGACATCGTGTCTCTGACTTCCTGGACCTCTGCTTCCAAGATCTTCCAAGCCATTCTCATAACTCGCAAGCTCACCACTGGTGGCAGGAGGCAACAGCTGTCTCTTCCGCGCGGACTGGTTGATGTTTATGCATACTTCACCAGGCCGAACAAAAAGCAGTTGGTTGTCTCTCAATAGCAGCGCATGTGGGGGGCGGCTCTAAAAGGAAGCCTTCCTACGGCCAAGCCATTTTGCGAGGTTTCAAGAGCTTTTTTTCCAACTTAGCTCGGTCTGGACCTTTGGCTTCGGTGCTCGCTTTGATTTCCAAAACACGGACTTTTGCACCTTGGCTGTGACGAAAGGGAGCACTTCATGACGCCCGGTGAACAATGGCGCTTTCCTGATTGACTCAAGAGGAACAACTCCTCAAAGGAACTAGGCAATTGAAGACCCGCGCAAGCCCGAACAAAACGTGTGAGCAAATGCGGGGGCTCGTGGTGTTGAATGGGAGCTCGCAGCCTGGTCCCGACACGTCCTTCCCAAATTCACAACTGAGTACTGATAACTTTGTTGCTTTGGATTCCGGGGGTGCTGTCCATCATGAGGCGAGCAGTCTCAACAACATGTTGGGCAACACGTTGCCCGAGGCATTGGAGTGCAAATGCTTCATGATGTAACGCGACAATCATCTGAAACGTTTGCACGTTGTATGAGTGAAAGAGTATCTCTGCAAACAGCTTCCAGAAGGAAATCAACAAAACACATGGGGTTGTGTTCGTTGTTGTTGGCGTTACTTTTTTGGGCTCTCGGTTTTTTAACTCCTTAGTGTTCTGCAGTGTTTTGTGCCTTCTGTACTTTCATCCGCGAGATCGCGACCTTCTAATACAATGGTAGCACACGAAGTACACTTGGACAGCTCCAGCTCGGACATTGCAACCTTCCAGTACAAGCATTGCATAGTACACAAAGCAGGCAGCTCGAACATCAAAACTTGTGTGTACAAGTGTAGAGTACGTACACTTTCGCAGATCCATCTCGAACATCGCAACTTTTCAGTCAAGTGTAGCACGCGCAAAGTACACTTTGGAAGTTCCAGCTCGAAAACCCAACTGTTCGGTACAAGTGTAGTACACAAAGTACACTTTGGCAGCAAAAGGCAATTTACGTGCAACACCCTATCGTTTTTGATATCGTTCTTGCTCAGCTACCAAGTCTGGGCCTGGTTGCTGCCTTTGAAGGTACCAAACACTGTGAGGATCCCCAGTATGGAAACACAACTGTGTGGGACCTGGCTTTGGGCCTTGTTTTGTGACCCCCTCGTCGTTCATTCAACATGTCAGCAAGTACACCAACCACAGGCTGCAGACCTGATCTTGGGGCAAACATCGCGGCACAGTCAGGTTGGCTTTCCTTTCATGTGAGGTTGTATAATAAGAACCCGCTTGATTTAAACTGCTATTCGGAGGTCCCTTGCGTTCAGAACCTCCACAAAGGCCACGTCTCACTGCAAAACGATAAGGTTTCTCGAAAAAGGCCGCACCAAAACTTAGGACAAGGCCTCTGGGCTCGTGTTTAACCCGTCCAAGGCGCTGCAAGGACGCCGGCAAAGCTGCTGCTCCTGCGAGAGGATCCGCGACCCGCGCGTTTAATTCCCGTTGGCGATAAACAGGTGCGGGGGTGGAACAACATACTTTCTCTCCATATGAAGGGCTTCATGTTGGCTCCCCGAGCTGATCAAACTGGTCCATTAGTGAGAGTTGCTTGTTTATCTCCTCCCCCTATTAATGAATGACCCCCATTATTAATAAATGCAAATCTGGGGCCCAAGGCCAGATTTCCACTCCGCACAATTGATTTTCCATTGCGCCAATACTAAACCAATACTAAAGTCTTGGAATCCTTATTAGGGGGCACTTTTAGTAAGTTTTTAGCCTTATTTTTTAAAAGGTGGGTTTCTTAATTCCCCAAAAAGTTTATTTTTTTTAAAAAAATGGGCCCTTTATTTATTGGGGTGTCCCTCAAAAGAAAACATGTCCCTTAAAGCTGTCTAGCTGCGACTGTCTCTCTCCCGTACATGCTGGCTAATTAACCTGCCTGGCTGCAAACAAACAACCAGTAAACTGGTAAACAAATAGAATGATACATCAAATTTCCTTATTAAACCGCTTACTCGCGGACCTTACAATTCAATCCATTTCCTCCAAATCCTATGTGAACCCTCACATTGTTGGAAAAGCAAAAAACAAAAAAAACAAAAACCCCAATAAAAAAATGGGTGGATTTATTTATAATAGGGGGGGGGGCGTATTTATTAATAGGGGGAGCGGATTAGTTTGAAACAGTTGCTTTCCCCGCAACAGTTCACGGATGAAGGCATACTACAAGAGGAGCCGATAAGGCCAAACTGGTCCTGATGGGTCGTTTCATCTTGGGGTGTCTTTGATGAAATCATCCCAAACAACTTTATGATGGCTCGGTGTTCCTTAAAACCATTCCCGAAAGGCACTGTCAAATTATCAGATCACTGGTGGAGGTGTACTGTGCACAAGCGGGCCAGCCAAGCAGCCACCAAAACTGCAAACCAGCTCTCGAAACAGAAAACAGACAGAAGAGAAGAAGTTAAGCACCCTGAGCTGGCCACAGAGATGGCATTGATCTTCCCCAACTTCGATTCGTGTTTTTGTGAAGGGTCACAAGGCGAGGGCTGACGGAATTTGTTGTTCCCGTGGCTGCGGATTTGTTGGCTTACGGCCAATAGGGACACACCCTCAGCAGTACATGACCCCTGCTCTTGATCTCAGTGTGCCATCTTCTACCCACATGGTGAAGATTACAGGTACACGTCTTTCACCAGGGTTGCTCCGCCAAAGGGATACAATGGGAGGGGGGGGTGAAAATTCCTAGAACCGGCTCGATTTTCGGGCGGGCAAATTGGCCGAGACCTGGCAGAAACCCGCGGCGCTTTGAGAGGCAGCCCCAGTACCGGCGAGCCTGTGAAAGGACCCGAGATTCAGGTCACCTGGCAAACCCCCCACACGTTTTGAATGGGTCTGAACTGTCTGTTTCCCCGCAAGTGTCTTCCCAAGAAGGATTGAACTTAAACTGGCAACGTAAGTTCCCAAATCCCTCACAGATCTATGAAGTCCCGCGGAAATTTGCAAGGCGTGGACTTCATGCTGCATTCTCAGTGTCGGTGTCTAAGTCCGTTGTACTTAAGTCTGGAAGGCCGCCCTCCTCAAGGCGGCAGTCCTGCTTGTGGGGTCGGCGCTGTTGCTGGGGACACAAACTTGGTGAAGCTGGCAACGCGATCCTGGCCGTGAGCCCAGGGGGTTCAATGATGCTTCAACTGAGGCTTGCCCCTCACCTGTTCAAGCTTTGCTTTACTATCTCTAAAATATGTCTTCAAAAGGGTTTGCTCATGGGGAAGCCCCCTGTAAATCACAAAGATAGCAAACCCTGATACTGGGTCACAAATAGGGCACCCGCTTCAAGTTGACCTGTCTTGAAATCGAGGTGCGAAACGGGCTTCAACCGCCCTACTTTGTGGTAATTAAAGGAATGTCGGCTTGCTGGTTCAATGTGCAGCCTCAAAAGCCGCATTCGGGAACCCGACCGCGTTTTAGCCTGGAGAATATACATATCTCAAAACATTTTGCTTTATATACACAATAATGTGTATATATATATAATGTATACACGTCAATATATGTGTGTCCTTACAGTACGACCCAACTCGATACAAGACATGATGGGTCTCCTCGGTAAAAGTTGAGGAACCAAATGCCTCAGTCAGTATATAAATTTGTGGGTTGAGCTCAGAATCCGACGAGTGAGCCGAGCTTCATCACGTCTGCTCCAAAGACAGCAAACAGTCAGGTTATGTAAGGTTGTCAATAATTCAGCACTGTTGTTGGCTATAGAATGCCCTGGAAACACGAACTCAGCTTGGGTTCTGGCAGACATTTTCCCTTTGCAGGAAAACTGGGCTTTGAAGGGGGCCATCCACCCCAGGTCATTGCAGCAATCAACTCGGAGGCGTCCTTTTTGATTTGTAGGAAGGGTCCAGCCTCACAATGAGGTGGACCATTCATTAGATGTTGCCGTCACACTTTTCAGCCCTCTTGGCCCAAGGAGATGCTGGTGAGGTCTCACAGACTTTCCCAAAATGCCCATTTGTTCAGGGATTCAGATATATCAAACTGTTGAACAACTACTGACCACTGCAACTCAAAGAAATCCAAGTCGGCAGGTTCAACCCCAAGCAACCCGACGGAAGCCCGAGGGGACCCAGCCATTTGGCAGACTGGGCCCATTTTACTAAGTACCCTTATGGTGAATTAAAAGGGCAATCACTCCCATAAGTCATTTTGAAGGACCTGGGAACTTTGAATACCTGGTCGATTGCCTCCAGCAACTTCTGG